ATTGCGATGAGTGGGTTATCGTGAACCTGCAACATCCAAGCAGCATTTCACTACGGCTTGTGTAACTGTCAAAGAACACTGGAAATGATGAACCGAATGACGAAATTATCGTACCTCCCGAATGCATTTGTAATTGATATGGCAAACTATGCCTTGCGGTCCGTTGGAGTATTGTGATGCGACCGTTGCGTACTCGTGCACGTCCCGATTATGCGATCGGCTTCCGAGACGTTGTTCTAGTGGCCACACCTTGGACCGCGTTGCCGGTATGGGTTCCAAGCACGATTATAATTTCGCGTTTGTCACAATGCACAAAGGATGCCTGGTTGTGTTACTGGAGGCAGGTGTGAGAAATGCGAACACGATCAGTCTAAGGTTTAGATTACGATAAAAGGGCAAATAGCTAATCAGCGAATACTTCTATCTATGCAAGTATACACCTAGGTGAAGTGTGCATCAGAAGGCCCACATCGAAATGTCACGTTTCAAAGAATGTGATGAACATTGTCAGGTTCTACTAAGTGAAATCTGTTATATAAGTTCCGTCTAACTCGTATTCAAATGACTCTGTTATTGGTCACCAATGTTATGGAGCCAATGAAATCAGTGAGAATGGAGTATGATTACAGAACATTGTAGATCTTTTAGATAAAGTAATTTTCAAACTGAATCTTCAGAAGAGTTTACAAAAACATCGCTGCTGGAATTACAGCAGTTAGACTGTGTGGTTGGACAATATCGTGATTTTTAGATGAAATTAATGGGCTTATTGGAGAAATCCACATTGAATAGACCAAGGAGGGGTCAATCTTTTTTTTAATGTAAACTGTTTTATAGAAATATATATTCCAGAATTAACGTATTATGTACGCACGATTGTTTTTTATTGTTCACGCATTTACGATTCTTGAGACTTAGCTGCGATTTTAACAGACCAGAGATAATCCACAGAGCTAGCTTGTTTGGGATTTGAATGTGGAGCTGTAATACTCGGGAGTGAACTGGTACTCGACTGGTACGCGACTTCGCATTCAGACTGACAATCCATTGGAATATGTGAATATGCGAGGGCACGGATGATCTATGAATGGAGTTTTTGTAATGGGAAATATATGCCTAGCAACAGCATATACTTCAGTCATTCATTGGCTTATTCAAACGTGCTCACTGGTTGTCGTTACCATACGCATTTTCGTACTAGGAGCTTTCAGATATCCCATCAATCGCATAAGCCAACCGGGATGGTTTGCTATCTGAAAACTAGGTTCCGGTGCCTGCCACCAGATCTTACCGTATGTTTAAGTTCAAAACATACTGATATTTCCTCATTAGAAATATTCTTTTTGTGAAACGAAACCAATGAAAATTTGCATGGTAGGGATGGGGAATTGGATTCGGTTATATTATGGAATTTCGTCACGTACGGAGTAAACGAATCACAGAATAGAAGGTGAAGAAGCATTAGATAGCTGATTCAAGCAGACTGGGCCTCATCCGCGACGCAAATCCATCGACAGCGGATCGAATCCAGAAATTCGCAGGTTGAAAGCAAGCAAAACTAATGAAAACTTACCCTGGTAGCGTATAGCATGTACGTTGGTCACTGTTCACTTCAGAGCTACCTTGATATTGTATGCACTGATTGCTGGTCGTTCATCCCTAAATCCGGCAATATGTTCGCATCCCTGTCACAGTGTGGTGTATGCTTTTGGTCGGCCTGTCTGGCCCTTCCCTTCGATCGATCGCCGCGATGTTTTATTCAACAGAAGAAAAAAACATGAAGGTATAATGTTTTTGTTGGTTGTTTGGATTAAAATGGAGTCGAACTGAATTATTTAACTCTTAGAAGACATTTGAAAAAACGCTTTCTGAATGGTTTTATATCAGGTTCTACCGAAGCTCACCACCAAATTGAATAGAACTGCGTCTGAAACGTTAAGCGTCTTCAATATTAGTTATGGTGCTGTTCTTTATCGGTTAGAAACATTATCTTTCAATGCTTAAAACCTCTATGATTTCTCTTGACAGTGGAGCACTGGTGTGCATTGTGGTAGATCGATCGAATATAAGACAACAACAGCAACAACCAGGTATCTGCTCTACTGCTAACCACATCTATGCTTATCCTTTGGAGCATTTTTTGTGAGTTTGGAGACTCGAAAGAGAATATTTGGCAACCAGATGTTCCCATATAGTAAAATTCGCAGCTGACGCTCACAGCCCCTCCCTTTGTCCTAGTTCAAAGCCATTTTGTTAAAAAATCCAGTGTCGCGCGAACCTGGCACGTTTTTGATGAGTCACATCGGAAATAAATGTAATTGGTGTCAATCTATGCAATGATAAACGACACATTGGCGTGTGAACGGTAAAAGTTTGATTTTGGAGTAAAGTAGAAAGGAAAACTTCAACGAGAGATCAATCATCGAGGTTTCATTTATTCGGAATAAAACCAGCTCACTCAAAGGATACAATAACATCACAGTGTATCTGAGACAACTACTTGCACGCAAAGACCTATGACTGAACGCAAAATTGATCATGTACTTGACATTGTCAAAGATTGTATTGCCCTTGCATACTGTGACTATCCATTCCGCATTTCAATTCACTTACCTTCTTTCACTTTGTTCCGCACATCAGCACTGACTTCTTTGAAAAAAGTAAGCTGCTGAGGATCCCCGAATAACCATTTGTTAAATCTTGTGGTGTTGTTTTTGTGTCAACCAATTCAAATGGAACCATTGCAACCAACCAAATGGGTCGGACGTGCGCCATTCAGGTGAACTTCAGTGGCCTAGACACTGAATGTGTTGATTGGTCTACTGACAGTTTGCCATCTACTGTTTTTTGTCACCCACCAGTGGGACCGTCTGAAAGAAACGATACATCAGTGGCATTGGTTACGTCCTACCTCTACATGTCTGGGTATTTTTGGGCGCAGTTTGATTCATCAATTACCGTGGTTTGTCCAAATGCCCAGCCAAAAAACAGCAACCAAAACCGCCGTACGAAGATGCATGGTTGATGGTTGTACAAACTGAACTGGACTGAACTGATTGGTCTGTCAAGAAGCTCATTTTAACTTTTCTAGCTCACGCGAATGAGAGCGTTTGGCACCGCTCAGCGACGAATTGCTAACTCTGATTGTATAAACTACAGTCAATCTCTTGCTAGGTCACACCCATGAGAAGTCGCATTTTCCAATATTTTCCCACTTTTTCGAAAACCCAAACCAATCGTATGCCTAATAACAGATTGGATAAACCTTGCGAGGAAGTCACACCAATGCAAAGGATAGGAGATACCGTCATTTAACGTCAAAATGTGCATCTATCGATCAGAGAGAAACAGAATGTGTTGGAAATGTTGAAACAGGTGCAACTCAGAGATCCGTTGCCAAGTCACTTGGAATTTCATGAACAAATGTCTTCAGTGTTGTACCCCATCGAACGACTATCGCGGAATTTTTGAACCCTGAAGCACCTGAGGGAAGATGCCACCTGAAAACCAACGAAAAGTCCAAGGCAGTGAATGAGGCAACTTTGGCTTGGTTTACTCCTATGAGGGAAAAGCACGGAGAGTTCCCAATAGTGGAGTGCATCGTACGTAAGAAGGCAATTCAGTTAGCACAAAGATTGCATCACAATGACTTCAAGGCTTCCAAAGGTTGGTTTCGCTCTTTCTCATACAGATATCGTACAAAAGTAAGAAACAAGCAACTCAGGTGCATTACTTTATAGGTCTGTGGGGAAAGTTTAGCGGTACTACGTGATGCAGTGGACGAGTGGAGGAGCGGGGTAAACGCAGTTGATACATGGATATTCTGACTGTGATATTTTCAATGTAGATAAAACAGATTTGTATTCCAGGCAGCTCCCAGAAAGAACATTGAGTCTGAAAAGAAAGACAGTTTCTGGGTCCAAGGAATCCAAAGAGAGGGCTACGTTACGGCTTTGTGGGAGCATGACTGGAGAAAAGTTATCACCGTTGGTGATTGGAAGGTTTCAAACTCCACGATGCCTCCGAGGTATAGACAGAAGAAGCCTTCCATGCAGTTATAATTCTTCAAAGAACGCATGGATGACTCCTACGTTATTTCACAGTTGGCTGTCCGATGTCAACCTTAAAATGGTTTCTGAAAGGCGCTCTGTTTTACTATTTATGGACAATGCCTCTTGAAATAACCAAGCTACAGTATTTTAAAACGTCAAATTGGTACGGTTGCCTCCGAACTGTTCATCGATGTTACAACCAATGAATCAGAGCCTGATTTGGTCTTTCAAATGTTCGTTTCGGAAACATTTACTGGAATATGTTTTGTCTTTGATCGAAGATGAGCAACGTATCATGAAAGCCGAAGTGGACATTCTCATTGCCATGCATATGGTCACGAAAGCCTGGGTGTCTGTGCACCCGCACGTACTGCTCAACGCTTTCATGAAAGCAGGGTTCAAATCCACATTGATTCAGCCGGTGATGCAGCCACCAGAGGATAAATGCGATTTGATCGAAGACTTTACTCATCATGTGTCTATTGATGACCGTCGTTTTGAAGAATAAATCGCCTGTTTGGAATTTGATGAAGTGTATTATTTAAAATTTGTGTATCAAGTCTCTTTTAGTCATTAGATTAATTAGTTTCAAATCAAGCTAAGCATCTCAAAGAAGAAGATGAATGTGAGGCAATGAATGCGCCCGAAGTTATCTCAATCAGAGAGGCGCATAAGTTATTGGATCAATTGAAGTTGTTTACCTTGGTTAATGCTCTGAGTTCGGGTCGATTATTGGAGTGTACAATTGATTTAAACGGCGCGTTTGTTGATTTCCAACGGAGAGCCAAGCCGAGACAAACGACGATTTATGATTTTGCTAAAAACACATCTTTGTAATCTGCAAAAATGTTCTGCAATTCTGTGGGGCACTGAACTGAAATGTGAGGCACTTGAATGTGGTCATTTTTACTGCAGTGGTCACCAAAACCACGGCCATTCGGTCTATCGATGGGCTCCGTCGCAGTAACGTGCAAACGGGCGAACGACAATCGCGATTGGCTGGCAAGCTGGTAAGTGGAGTGAGATGTCAGATCCGAGTGACCGATAAACACCGTCACGCGGACGTGCCTGTGTGAATGAATGAACGATACTCTCACTTGTCCTAGAGGACCGATGAAATTAGACAGATCAATTGCTAAAGGTCATCGTAACCCGGGTCTAAGGACAGTTTGTCAGATGCACTTTTAGGTTATTAATAGTTAACTGCTTGAGCGTCGCCGTAATTCCTGTAGGCTGGCGTCTATGGCCTTCGGTTGGCTGAACAGGAATGAATTTCTTCTAAGTAAACTCCAGTCTCATGCCTACCGGAAAATTTGCGCGAGAACCCACTTAAAAATAGTGCTGGTATCTTAAACGAGTCAAATGTTGACAGTGTTATCACTGCTTGAACTTTTTCATTCAGAATCTCCCACATGGCTCATAGTTCCACAACTGATCCTCCTGCGGCAGTTCTCTACCAACTTAAGAAGCATTGGATCAGAACTTATCCACCTCCCATACCGACCCGAAAATCACACGACTTATCAGGTTCGTTTATGGATCGGTCGGATAGGTCACCGCAACAAGAGACCTGGCGCTTGTCCACCTAACCCGAGTGAGAAACCACACCGTGTCCAAAACCGCGAGTCTTTAGACGATTCATTGAACGTGGGCTGTACAGCCTTCACCACAGGGATTGACTGAACGTGATAATAAGATCATCACAAAAAGTACAGGACAATGTGAAACGATGGAGCAATTGGACTATCGAACTATCCACATAGCAACATGACATCTTAAATTGAAAAAGGTATGCTTTATGAATCACGTTAAGGCATCATTAGTTGAACTCAGTCCGACCGACAACGATCGTGATGAATACATCAATGGTTTGAACATACATAGGTAACAGCAGAAGCGAACGAACGAATAGATGTCTACAGACGCTAATGATACACACATTTTGCACTAGAAAACCATGAATAGATTGCACAACGGACAATCAGTTTGGATATGGGAAGGAAGTCAATGTTCTGAGTATACCCCGTAACAGATATTTCACACACTTTAGATGTTATTTCCTTCTCACCGTATTCGGACTGGTTCACCTTTGTTTTCCTTGAATGGGTTAATAATGATGTGCTTATTATAGCTGAAACAGTTGTACACTATGGTGGACGTCATATAATCAATTTTGTGGTTAGCCTAACATTACAACGGCATGGAGGAATATCTGGAATTATTATGGGATTATTGGGTCAGAAAAAGTTTCCCTGAAGAAAGGTAGGTTGTTTCGGGATAACTAGACATGTATAACTGAAAAAGTGCTGAATACCGCATGCCATGTACCGGTACTAATCTGAGGGCGTCATGACAGATTTAAATTTGTTCGATACAATAAGATTATGCAAGACGGTAGATCTAAATTCCGGTATAAATAAACAGTTTATAATAATAAACACTGGGAACAACTAACAGGATTAACTTACTTTTCATCGGTCGGGTTTATTTTGTCACAAAACTATCAATCGATTTTTATACTACTTATTAGCGTCTACTACTGTTTACCCTGCTATGTCGCAGTTCCTGAAATTTACCCACTTTTTCGAATTCCTGAGGGGTGCGACATAGCAGGAGATTGACTGTACTACCCCAGCTGATTTGACTCAGCGTGTGAATCATTTTTCACCAGAAAAAACTATATCATTAATACACCCTTCTAGGATAGAATGGCTTTCAAGGGATCACGTATTAAATCATAACCAAACTTGGACTAAATACCGCGCACTGAAGCAAGACCAACATTTGAGAATAAACTGATCCCTCACTTCTTCATCGAAATGCGGTGGATAAATCTCACATCAATATCGCATTTATGTTGCCCTTGAAGTGTAGACTTTCCAAACCGAAGATCATTATACATTTGTTCAGACTGATAAATTCAACCTTGTCACACGCAACGAGACTTTGATAAACGTTGACTCCGTACAAACTCAAAATATTTTGTGACTATCCATCATTTTCTTCACATGATCACTGTTTAGCGTTAGCAAATTGGTACAACCCAGGTGTGCTTAATATAGTACTCTATTGACTACCTCAAAATTTATTCATTTCAGGGGTATTCTCCAGTCAGCTTGGGCGTCTGAAACATTCACTGACTGCTATACTGGCCATTTTGGATGTGTGTCTTTCGGCGATTCCCATGCGCTTGATTCACGTCGTCTATCCCCTGTTGGTGGGCATATTCTACTCTCTATTCAGTTATGTGTTCTGGCTCAGTGGAGGTATAGGTCCATTCAATGTGGGCCAAGTGTACCCCGGACTAAATTGGTCTCATCCGAGCACTGCAATTTTGACCTGTCTGTGCGTCATTCTAGTCTCGTTCTTGGTTCAGGTACGTCTATTGCACAATTAAACAGTTCATAGAGAAATATATATCTAAATAGATTGTTTTGGACACGTGTTGGATGATATTTGTGCCGTCATTTTAAATATACCACTCTGTTTAAATAAACCGTCTTAAAATCAGCGACTCATTGCGCTGTTTTAGTTTCGTACAATTTATATTACTATTACAATCGCGTTCCCGTTTGCCTTGCAGTAAATTGTTTGCAGCGTCGACCAGATAAAACACATTAGAGGTTTTTGTTTTCGATGCGGTATATCTATCCCAGCTAAATGAGTTTCATGAATCCCTCTCACCTCTCGTTGTTATCAATCGAGGATGGCGGCGGGTGGATATTTGGTAAGTGCATTTTACCTCACCCTCGTAATACATCAATAAAACCATACGTGGGAAAGTCTTACCCCATCCCCTCACTGTCATCTCGTGGTTGGCATATTTTCACATAGTCCTAAGTTAACCCTTGGGATCATAACCCGGTCGATGAACTTCCAGCAGTTAGCTCATCCAGAGAAATAAGCAATCCACACATGACTAGGACTACAAAGTTACTCCATGACTATTGAGCATACGGTCAGTGGATTGATTAGCTAATTAAATGTGTTGGGCGCCATCGACTTGGGAGCCCCGTTCACAATGCCTATGTGCAGCAATGTTTTCTAGGCTTTGGTTTTTTCTGCCTTATATGCTGATTGAATTAAGGGGAATGGCAACTTTGGCGAAGACCTTGGTTTCAAATTCCTGTATGCTGACGCTGTTCGATTTGTCCCATATATCGTCCTACTTTATGCTCTAAGGTAACTGTTCTCAGTCACTGGCGTTATAGTTTTCCTAACGTTCACGTGATCTTCCTTGGGAGGAAAATATTGGGCTTAATCATCTCACAATTTCACGCATAACACACGCCACTATTGGTAGTCTAGCATGCATGCACAAATACACGCATTTGACAAATGTAAGTTGATAACAATCATTTCCACATCTCTTTTCCAGATACTTCTCTATCTGATCTATTATGCGCGTGTCAGGCTTAGCCAAAAATTGAAGGGTCGAGAATTTACTCTTCCACTCGGTCCCGTGAAATCTGGTTATGGCGAATTGGGGGACACTGATCCCGGAGATTTGGACAATCCAGAGGATCTAATCAGTGTAAACTCGATGAGCACGTGTGTGGGTACGAAAGCCAGTCGAGATTACGGTGCGGTGGAGTAATGGGACGATTGCAGCGGTTTGCTTCCGCGAGCCACATTCCATTGTCTCTCTTTGCACCACACGTTTCTGTGTTTGTCTGTATTTGTCTTTGTCCGGTCTCTCCTGATCTCAAGCAATCACCCAAATTGGGAAGTTCGAAATATTGCATTCGACAAAAAATATTCTTCAACTTCTCTTCCCACCAACCGGAATGGGGTGATTGGTATGGGTCAGAGTGACGAACGTTTCCAGCCTGAGTGCATTGCTTAGTTGCTGAGATATCATTTATCAAAATGTTGTTGAATAGTCAAACTCTTTTTGATTAGGTGCACATAATGAAAATGGAACACATTTGTTTATAAGCCCCCGTGCACAGCCTTTACCTTTCTATCGTGATATTACCGTTCACCTGTCATCCTCTTCTAAAAGTGCGGCTTCTTGTCAGGCTTTGACAAACAAGATAGTACGATTTGTCGTTGAATGAGACAAGCCTTCGTCATTGACAACCCCAATGGCGTTCAAATTTCATCCATAGATGACAATGTAATACGCAGTCCACATTTATTTCATCACAGTACTCTTCTCATTTCATTGACTATACGCATTCCAACCTCCACCTCTTAGATGATTTTTATTTGAACCAACCAGATGAATGTCGCACCAATATAAGCAAATAAGCTCAAGAGAAACATATTTCATTTGAAGCGTCACTAACAATAAAAGGGTTGAACAAAAGGCTTCCGGATACGCAGTATGCAGACGAAGTGTAGATGGCTGTAATCTATTGTGATTGCAGCTCGCAAAACCAAATATCAACAGCGGAGTACAGGTCACAAGTTATAAGGGTCGCTATACTTAGACTGTAAAGATGGAACTCAGCCGATGTCACTGGAGAGCCATTGTTTTCTACAACTGAAAACGTGATTCAAAGCAGCAACAACAGCAGAGTGCTGCTTGTTTGCGAGCTACTTTTGGTGGTGACGCGCCTTCAAAAAGTGCCTTGTTCCAAAATGTCAAGCGCATGATGAGCGTAATTCGATACGAGTTCCCAACGGCCGCAGGGGTGACCTTCATTGAATTGGTCGAGGGGTTACCCACTTCGGCATGGTCGAGCTGTTTCACCAAATGGTCTGAGCGCATGGAACTGTGCATGAAGGCTGGGAGAGAATACTTTGAGGAAATGTAATGGTTAGATTTATGTTAAAAGTAAAACGTTTCATGTCTCCGGAAACACTGCTCAGCCCTCGTACTTCATAGCCCGGTCACCAAACGATAAGAAGTAAAATATAGGACCGCGTTATCAATCACCTGTGAACAGTTTCCACCATCTTTGGTAGATTTTGGCAACGGTTGCTCTTGTCACAAATGGCTATGCGAATACGCCAGAACCTGTAGGCTTTAGCAAAAATCTTGAACGATGAAGACTACCGCGTTTTGTTTTGGTTTTTCCGCAATGAACTCGAGAAAAGATAAAATCAGTTGTGTTCCTCGATGTGCTCAGTGAGCCTAAATGGTTCTCGGTAAAGCGAAATTGTGAAGTGCTCAGAAACAATTACCTAGTCACTAGTGTTGTGCACTGGCCCTTGTAATGGACAAGTTTGGTCAGGCTATGGCGATCGAGCAGCGAGTACGCGCGAACCACAACACAGCTTCCAGGTAGCCAATCAGAACACGGAGTTCCCAACCAATCTTGTGGTCTCAAGTAGAACCAATCGAATTGACGGAATGCAAGAGTGACCATACGAACTACCTCTGTCGAGTAAACATCGAAGAACTGGCTGAAGATGGATGACACTTGTGATATTTATTTGCATAATTTTTGGAATAGAATTAATTTGTCCCACAGCCCGTCTTAGTTCTATCGGTCCAGTTCGCAATATTCGCTTCCGATCTCTATTCCGAATATCACACACAGACACGCCTTAACGCGAACCTAGTCTTGTCAAACAATTCAAGTCTATACACCTAAAATGCACCCAGTTGTTTTGCGTAAGTTATTTCAGATGAGGTTTGTTGTAGTAGGCAGAATATTGAAGGATTCGTGGTGAGCTTGCGGCGTTTTATGGTTTGCAATCACATGATGTGTTCGTGAGGCGTACCACGCAGAAATTTGCGACGAATAAGTCATACACTCACCGACTTGTAAGAAAAGCAGTTATAATTGATTTGTTCTTCGTTGGTGTCTACTAGAAGAGTCAAACTGAAACGAAGCATAATGGTTTGCCAGCCTTCTTGCTTTCGTAACTTCTTCCTCAGGTGTATACATCTACATGCATGATCACGCATAAGACAAAATGAAATTTGACGGATCAATAACATTGAAATTTATTAAAACGAGCTGCTCATAGACAATCCCAAAACTAATGGCTCAGTTCATTGTTCATGTCAGATATGTCTTCCATTTCCTGCACGCGCTACTCGAAACCATATGATGGAATAAGTGAAACAGATGACGCAACGATCTCGGTTCCTCAAGGAGGAGAATCAGTGATTGATTTTCTGTACCTTTTTCAGTTTAAGATGTCCGAAATCCAACTTGAGATGTCAAAATATGAATTTAAGATGTCATGGTGCTATGTTTTCACTCTGTACTGTGCAAGGTACTATCCACATAGCAACATGACATCTTAAACTAAAAAGGGTATAGTCTTCATATTATTGAGAATGGTGGGAAAATATTGCTATTTACACCGGAAAAGTTGTATCCACACCCTTTGTGCATTCTCTAGAGGCATAGTTTCAGTAAGAGCTTGGCGTTTTTTCACACACACGGAGAAAACCTTTGGGAACGTCAGTGTCCATGATTCCGCACTTGCATTTAGTCTACTACTTTTCCTCAAAGACTCTCCTTTAATCCCAAATTATCAGTCCTATTCCTGCTTTCGCCCCTGCAAATCCACTTTCGAAAATTGATTGTGTAGTAACCTATTTATTAGAAACCACACAATCGATTGCTGTCCTCCAACACGCACCGCATAGAAATCAATTTTTAAATTTTCTCATTTTACATTAGAATTGGGAAGTAGAAATAGTATGGGAGGGTCATTCTACAGAATGAACCAATACAAGTGCCGGAAAGGTATATGAGTTGTAGTGCAAGGTAAATGTACCACACGTGGAGTTGAACAGCACTGCCCAGCTGTTTTAACTGGCGGTGAGTATTCATTGGCCTTGGGAGGGGGGGAGGGGCTTGAACTCGAGCATGCATCAATAGAGATTCAGTGGTTACCGCCAGGTCGGTGCAGCGGTTAGTTGTGCGTAAGCACTACGCGATACACCGTCCTTTTGATAGGAATCTACTCACTGACATTGCACGTTGGATCACTTACTAACCTCGATTAATTTTGAAAGAAAATCCGACAGAAGATAGTGCGCCCATTGCGTATGAGTGGTTGATCTATGGATCAACCAGAAAATTCAGACCGGTTCCCTCACTCCCACGGTATAGCCCAAATCGGAATGGAGCTGAGACAGACCAAAACGCCAAAATGGATAAAAATGAAGTTGCTTTTATACAGATAGTATAGATATTTGTATACGCGTACATACGGATATTGTCCGGCTGAAGAATAAGAGAATGGGCGTGCGGATAAAGATCACTCGTCGCTCATACACACACATATATATGGGAATAGAAACACACGTGTATTTATGCGGATATATGCACATAGATCCAAACACACACAAACACACGGGGGTGTATACAAGCACAAGAAGTGCGCACGCACGCACACATGTATAGATACTTAACTGTATTAAATGCACCTGGTTTCATGCTCTATTGGAGTGGTTGACAATCCATACGTGCGTGCGTGAATCCACGTCTAGAGAAATTGCACTGGAACGTACGAATGTACTGACATCTTGAGTGTGTGTGACTGTGTGCGCGCGCCGCTGTCTGTCTGTCTGAGTTTGGGGAAATTCAATTGGCTTGGATAGCCAGTTTAGCATAGAAATAAGTGATTCATATACAGAGCAACAAGCCAACACGAACGACACGGATGACGAATGCAAATGACTGAGGCAAGTAAGGGGGAGTGTGAAATAGATGAGACAGAAGACTGCGAGCGCCACATGACCATCGCGTGACGTCCCATCGACCAAGCATTTTTGCTGTACAAGAAGATAACGACAAACATGATAATTGAGGGGGGGTGTACGGGGGAAAGAAGCGTGATCCGGAAATGATGAAACGGAAGGAGCAGAGGGACAGAAAATACAATGTAGACGGAGACCACAAAAACGATGAATCGTACCGGATTGTTGCTGCCCATAAGACTGAGTCAGTCCGACCCTAACACAAGTACCATGAACGGTGGTACTGGCAAATGAGTGCATGAGAACCGCCACCAAAACGAGAGAGGGGATGAGATAAGTGAAACAGGGGGTCTGGCAATCTGTGATTGCGAACGCTGAGTTAGGCTCGCACTGGCCCAACATTTAGATTCGCTTATTTGATATAGCAACTCATTAGCGAGGGCAGGAGGGAGAAGTTCGTGGTTCGCGAAAAATACAGGGGACAGAAAGAGTGAAGGTGATGTGTGTAATGCGCAATAATTCCAGTTGCACTGATTCGGACCGCATCGAAAGAACTCACAAAAATTAGGGAAACAAGGAGGCCGAGTTGAGAAGGGTATTGTAGGACATTTTTAGAGGGAGTAAGTGAACCAATGAAACAAATACGTGTGGTACGCCACAAGCGGAACATACCCTTCCGTATCACTGGTCACATGGAAAGGCGGACGCGGTAAAAGAGCCGCTTCTGGGAACATGGCGAGGGAGGGGTTTTAAGTAGCGCTGTTATCTCCGGATGGATCAGCAGACGAGGAAACCGAAGTTGTGGCACCATTCATGAGTGCGAGCTGTGGGCGAAATGGGAGAAGCATAGACAATTAAATCCTCGGTTACTCACAAAACGTTTAAACCCTTTAAGAGTGCACTGAACCAAAGCACAATAGATGTAAGGAAAATCCACAGCAATACGCTCACGAACACAGAAGCGTTCTACAATGTGATCCATT